GTGGAGGTGAAGAGCACCGAGGCTGCGGCTCATCCAGAGGCTGCGGGGTTCCTCCCGTTGGGATCCGTATACGGCGGGGGTGTGTTGGTGGTTTTTCCGGCGGAGCCGCGGAGCTGCGGAGTGGGTTCAAGATCCCAGCCCTTGGAACCGTTCCCAAAAGGCCAGCAGTGGCCGCGGTTGGTCCAACAAGGTCCATTTTGGCCACAGGTGCTTTGCGGAGATGTTGCTCGTAAAACGTTTTGTTTTTAAATCACTTCATTTCACTCTGGGACTGGCGATTGAAATCTCCTCAAATCAGATACCTTTTGTTTCTCTACCCTTTTCGACGATCAATTCCGGGAGGGCAAAGAAAGACCTCACTGAATTCCTTTTTTGGGAAGATTCGTTCTTTTTCAATGAGTTACTGTTGGGCTATTCTGGGATTGGGCGGATTTTTGGGCGACCTGGTCTTTCCCATTGGATGCCAAGAAGACGAAGAACCAATTTTTCGCAACACTTAAGCTCTTGCCTTGCCGGAAATAGCTTTCGGTTTGAGTAGAATTTCAAAACGCCTTACAATGGTTCTGAAATGCCTCGCATAGTACTCAGAATGGGTTTTCGTGGTCAGTGGCATGATTGGATGTGATTGGATCGTGGTATTGTGTGCAGTGACGGATGATCTACAAAGAATGAGTCCACAGGTACTTTGCAGTGTGGAGGGCGAATAGGCCAGCGAAAGTCAGTAGATAAAGCATGGTTTGGTGGTGTTTGGACTCTGGACTCAGACCCCATATGCTGGGAGGCTCTACAAGGCCATCCAGATTGGTTGATTCGCTCAAGATGGCTGATGCGGAGTCAGGCGCTCCGCCAAGAAGCAGATCTTCAGATTTCACCATGATGCTCAGCGCTGCTAACTCTCCCTGATCCATGGACATCCGATTCGGGCATTTGTTTTTTTCATTTTTTTCATGTGTCCTGGATGATTCATGGTGAGCGGAGCAGTCATGCAGTATCTCCACCATGGTAGCTTGTTGCTGAGTCCTGGGTTGGAAGTCCTGGGTGAGGCACTGGGTCACCTGGCCTGGGCATGGGCATGGCATGTGCCGCGAGCGAAGCTGGGGCGACCATAAGCTAAACATATATTCATTGAAAGAAACTTTTTCAGGCAAATGCTGCCATCCTGCTTCTTGGTTTGATCACTGTCTGAGTGCTGTGATTCCAGGAGGATGAGGCACAGCTGCGGGCCTGGATGTAAGTCGATACGGTCTGAAACTTTGTTGCTCAACTCATCCTCGCCTCTGTCAGTTTCCAAGCTCATCAAAACGAACCCATTGGAAAATCCTCAAAGACAGCACAATGATGCTGAACACATATGAGCTCATCACTCATCACATGCGCTCTTTCAACGGATTTGAGCCCAACCACGAGCTCCACCCGCTCCGTGAGCACCACCCGCTCCGTGCGCTCGACGCACGGGTTCCGATGGGATCAGTGAACCCCCCCCCGAGCGACGAGGTCGTTCCACTTCCGGATGGGAAGGTCGGTGGCAGTTTCTGAGGGACGGCAGGGGGCCCAACTGGTTGCATGGGCGGAAATGGTGAAGTGAAGCACTGGAAAGCATCTTCAGGAAAGCATCTTGGGGAGGTGGATCTTCCACCTCATCTCCCTGCCCTCCGGGGTTCAGTGGCAGTCAGCACACAGTTCGCCATGCGTATGGACGACTGCTCCTGCCGCAGGATAGATGGGGATGGATGCACCTACGCTAGGAATGAGGTAGAGGGAATCCAATTTGAAAACATTGTGGAGGACTACATGAAGAATCGGTTGGTGTTGAACGGTCAAATGGCTGACAGCTTGTATGACTGTCTTGGTGGTTG